ATCTGGGTTCAGTAATCTATGGTAGTGGCCACACAGAACTCAAAACAATACTGAAGATTATGGGGTTTATTAAGGAAGTGAACAGGGTACAATTCAGGATCAAAACCACCTCAGGACGCAGCAGTTCTCCAGTCAGGAACTCCTCTTGTCTGTCAGACTCTAGGCATGCCTCATTCTTGTTTTCAGCCTCTCAGCCATATGGTTCCTTGGCCTCTGCCCTGTTCGGGCAAGTGTTACAAAGCTCTTTTAGCCAGTCTGTGACTTCCCAAAGGTACATTCTTCAAGGCATTCTCTTGCCCATTTGCACACAGCTTTACTCAGTCCATGGGTCTAGAGCCCAAAGTTGCTCTGTCTCTCCATGCAATCACCATTTCTCTAGGTAGGGATCTCACACTAAACTCATGCTCTTCCTTGATGGGCCTGAGATCTTCCATCTCTGTTTCTGAGATGGCTCCTTTAAACCTAGCTGGAGGGCAAAATTAACCAATCCTAGACTTAGTCCTGCATACCTTATTGGCATGGTCCCACCCAGTCACTTGGTGAGAATTAAGAGAATTAAGAAGACTTTGGGTAGAAAAGCCATATTAAGTAAATTCAAGGTACCACAGCCACACTTCCTAGTGATTTAGATGTATCTATGTCTGGTGAAGACAGTAATTAAATCAGTGTAGTCAACACACCATGGTTGACAGTAACTTTTAAAAATTGCTTCCAAAATTTATAGTTTGATTTAGGGTCAGATTTCTCTTGCTTTAAGCTAGAATGTAACCAATCTTGAGTTTCTGGAGGGAGTATTAAAAATAGAAGGCTTTAAAAAAAATACTGACTCTTGTTAATATTTAGTTTAATTTTCTAGTTTGTTTTCTCTAGTTTTTTGTACTCTCTAAAGCACTGAATACTTGCTAAGCTTCAGAAGACAGTCTTCAGTGTTCACTCTAAAGTTAGAGTATAGATGAGAACTCTGTGTTGAAGACTGTATATCGTGAGAACCAAGGTAAGAAGTAGAGTAACCTCAGAAAGAGTGAATGAAACATTTAAGAGTCTAGATAGAGGAGAGACAGATGAAGACAGATTTGGTTGGCCACATCATAGCTAGAGAAACCTTGAGGGAGTAGAAAGAGAAAAGGCATATGGCTAGCTCATCGATCTACACTCGGGGTAAACAGTCCTATAAAGCAGGTTCAGGAAGACAGAAAAATGGACTTTGGCTGAATTTATAAGAGACACTCAAAAGGTGTCAAGGTGACACATTGATGAGAGAGGAGAAACTCAGATTATAGGGTGAGCATAGATCAGGACAGGAGAAAGAAAAGTGAATGTGAGAAACCTAAATTCAAGGTGAACTCCAGCATAGGAGTGATTGTGAGGTTGGTGCAGGGCTGGGCAGTGTTTTGTTATGTTGTGCAAAAAGGTCACTATGAGTTGGTACTGACTCAATGACAACAACACCCCCACCAGGATTAGCTGAGTCAAATTGAGACACATGAAACAGCAATAACTAGGGACAGCTACGGATTAAATTGAGATAAACATAATAAATTGGGCAAAAAAGTAGCATCGGATAAATGTGGAAAGAAATAGAAGGTAGAGAGAGATCAGGAATGGGCAACTGTAGCATAAGACTTTAAATATAGCAAGAGAAATAATATAGAGTCGTTACAGAGAGAAGTCTCATAGGGGTAGACGTAAGAGTGGGAGAACAAATGACTAGTACAGAGTGGGAGCAATGAGACAGATTCAGAGAGTGCAAAAAGAAGTGATTGAACAGGCACTGGAAGAAAAAGCTATGGGAAATAGTGGTTTACAAAGAAACACAAAGTGGCATGGGGTATAGCAAGAAAAACAAAAATAAATGTGGAGGCAGTAACTAGCAGGCACGGATTAAATAGCTTAATAAATATGAATTGCACAACCAGAGAGAACATATTTTGTGACAGTAAAAATGACAGTGGGACTGTAGATATCCAAAGTCAGGACAGAAAGGATGAGGGGATAAGCCCAATGATAGTCAAAAACAGGGATAGATGTAACAATAGGACCGTCATACACAGACATACATCAGAGAAACCTCAACTAAGCCATAAGACAGAATATCCAAGAAGATGATACAAAGTGGGCCCAGAAAACACTGGAAAGTGCTGGCATAAGGAAAAGTTAAGTAGAACCCAAGAGAAGCAGTAATTGTAAATGGCTTAATGAGAGAGAGTAGTAGTATAGGTATTAAACACAAATGAGATAGTCAAAATAAGACAGGACTCCACAAAGGAAACAGAGTCCACCATCCATGAATAAGAGAAGGATGAAAGCAGAGTAATATAGGGGAAACATGGGGCCAAAAGAGTCAGTCAGTGTACTCTCAAAGGAACACAACAGAAGTGAGGAGAATGACACAGAGAAGACAGAGTGAGCAGGTCATTCACGAACTATGAAGCTAGGTTATGGGATGAAACAGTTTTCCAGTTAGAGCGGGAGAGGGAATCATGTGGAAAAGTTGATGCAGAAAGCATCAGTAGCAGGCAGAAAAAGACAAAGTGGGAGCTCAGACACATGGAGTCAAGGCTGTGGAACAAATTGAGTCAAACAAGTAGATAAAAAGCAGAACAGCAGAAAGACACAAATGCAGCTTAACTCTCTGAGATGGGGAAATGTAAGTTGACTGGAGAAAAGACAAGGGATGATCAGATCTAGATCAAACAGACAAAAAAGAGGTAAAACGAAAAGACCAAATGGGCTGAGAAACAGATCATAGAGTCCCTATAGAATAGAAAGAAATTATGGTTGGAAATAGATACAGAGAGTATCCCAAGTGGAAGAGATGCTGAGATCAGTGCTAAAGCACAACATATGTTTATAATAATTAAACAATTACCGTATGATCCATCAATTTTACTCCTAAGTATGTTGTTGTTGTTAAGTGCCGTTGAGTCGGTTCCGACCCATAGCGACCCTGTACAGGGTTTCCGAGGATGTAAATCTTTACGGGAGTAGAAAGCCTCATCTTTCTCCCGCGGAGCGGTTTGTAGTTTCGAACCGCTGACCTTAGGGTTCGCAGCCCAGTTCGTAACCACTACGCTACCAGAGCTCACACAGATACTTGTAAATGTTTATAGCATCTTCATTCATAAGCCAAAGGTAGGATACAGCTTAATGTCAACCAATTGTGATATGTCCCATTCAATGGAATATTATTTGGCCATAAAATGGAATGAATATTGCTGTTACCATGTTACAACATAGATGAACCTTGAAAACTATGCTAAATGAAAGAATCTAGTCACTAAAGACCAGATATTATCTGAATTCTATTTATGTAAAATGTCTAGAATATTGAAATCTTTATATAAAGTAGGTTAGTGTTTACTTAGGGCTGGAGGAAATAGGGAGATAGCACAGCAACAACTAAAGGGTACAGGGTTTCTTTTGGAGGTGATGAAATGATTCTAAAATTAAGCTGTGTACTACTCTATGAATATACTAGAAATCATTGAGCTGTACATTTTAAATGGGTTGGGTAATTGTATGGTATGAGAATTCTCTAAGTAAAGCTAATATAGAAAGTCCTTTATAATTTGCAAAAACATGACATCAATCATTCCTCCCACAACACTCTCTACTCCTCGGCTGAACTTGAGAATCCATTGCAGTGGCCACACAGAACTCAGATACCATACTTACAGTTGTGGGGTTCATTAGAGAAGTGAACAGGATCAGAAAATGCTCAGGGTACAGTGGTTCCAATCAGCTGCTGATAAATGCCCACAGATCACACTACCATAAGTCTCAGCCTGAAGGCACTCAGCTCTAACTTTGTGGGTCAGCAAAGTCCCCTAATTAAGTGCCTACAGGCACCTTACTGTACAAGCAAGCTTCCTGCCTAGAGTCCTTCAGCTTTACTTGCTTTGTGGGCTGGGAAGCTCACTACTCGGTCTCATGCTCTGGTTCTTGGTTCTGCTGCTGCTGCTCCTCTGCCATTCCTCTGGTGTCACAGCTTTCTGTCCCTCCGTCAGTGAGGTTAAATGCACAGGGATCTCAAGGTCCGTAGGATGTGGTTCTTTCTTCTTGATGGTAGTGAGATTCCCCTATCTTGCTTCTGAGATGGCTCATTTTAAACCTATGTTAGAGTTCCAAGTTTTCATAATTACAATTAACTTGGTTAGCATCCACATCTGAATCATGTATCATTATCTTCTCCCACCGTCTTCTTACCCAGACCTATCAGGGAAAGTGGTGTTTGGTGGAAGTTACAAAGACATTCACTACACCACATAGTCTCACCTCAAAATCTGTAATACACCCTTGCAAATATAACAGTTTTATTTGTTTGTTTTTGTTTTTTAAATCTTACTTTTAAAGCAAAATACTCAGGAAAGATGCTTCTGGATGAGATATTTTTTGCTAGACTAGTATCTCTAAAAGGAGCTTGGTAGCATATTGGTTATGAATTGGGCTGCTAACCTCAAGGTTGGCAGTTTGAAACTACCAGCTGTTCCACAGGAGAAAGATGAGGCTTTCTGCTCCTGTAAAGATTTGCAGCCTCGAAAACCCTGTGCAGGGTCACTGTGAGTCAGAATCGACTCCACAGTACGTAATAACAACAACAAGTATCTCTAAAGGGAGTTCTAGTGTGGTGCTGTAGGATAAGCACTGGACTGCTAACTTCAAGGTTGGTAGTTCAAATCCACCTGCTGCTCCTTGGAAATCCTATACAAGGTCAGTATGAGTCAGAATTGACTTGACAGCACTTCACCACAAGAACTAGTGTCTTTAAATGGATATGTCACCATATTATTCCCCTTCCCCTAAGTAGATTTAGTGAAACATCTTCATCTGTAAAACCTCAATTATTTTTACATATCAGCTTTCACCTGTATGCATGTGTACATGATTGCTAGGTAGGACTGATTTGTAGTACTTCAGTAACAGTTCCCCAACTGACCTCCTTTTCCAATATACCAAGATGTTAATTTTCCCTCTTCCTGTCCTCTAACCTTTTTGTATAGCAAGGACCGTGCAGCAACTGCTGCTGGAGCTGCTGGCCTGGCAGGTGGACACCACCGGGAAGCATGGGCCACCAAAGGCCCCTCGTATGAGGACTTGTACACTCAGAATGTTGTCATTAACATGGATGATCATGAAGATCTGCATCGACCCTCCCTGGAGGGGAAATCTGCCAAAGAGAGACCCATTTGGTTGAGAGAGAGCACTGTCCAAGGGGCATATAGCTCTGAAGATATGAAAGAAGGTAAGGCTAGACATCAGTAAAATGTATATGTCTTGAATTCAGTAGAAAACAAACTTGACTTAGAGGGAAATTGCCTGGGTAGTTCTTAAATGTGAGGGGGCTCCAAAAGTTCATAGGAAAATTCCGTTCTCTTTTAATTCCATTTTTCCACAAACTTTTTGAAAGTCTCATACAGGTAGTCCCAGGTTGCAAAAGTCGGATTTAGAGACAACTGTTGTTTTTGTTGTTAAGGTGCTGTTGAGTCCGTTCTGACTCATATGCAGACCATACACACAGCACAACAAAACACTGCCTGGTTCGGCACAATTGTTGGTATGTTTGAGCCCATTGTGGCTGCCATTGTGTCAGTCTGTCTTGTTGGGGATCTTTCTGACAACATCTGTCGACTTTATAGGGTTTTCGAGAAGTGGCTGGTGGTTTGAACCACTGATCATTCGATTAGCAGTCCAGTGCATATCCTACAGCGCCACACCAGGACTCGCCCTTTAATGTTGCATAAATTTACCCTTATTTTGAAAGGAATGAACCACCCCCTACTCACAACAAACTCTTCATCACAATCACCTTCATTTGTTGCTATTTTAAGTACTGTGGAGTCAGTTTTGACTCATAGTGACCCTAGACAGGGTTTCCAAGGCTGCAAACCTTTACAGGAGCAGAGAGCCTCATCTTTCTCTCACGGAACAGCTGGTAGTTTCGAACTACCGACCTTGAGGTTAGCAGCCCGATTTATAACCACCACGCTACCAGAGCTCCTTGGAGTTTTTAAATCATTGAAAAGGCTCTGAGGCTTTTCTTGCACTAACCTAAGGCTAAATAAGAACTGTATGCACCTTTGCTGACTTACCCTCATATTCTTAAAGACACAGGAATGGATCACATTCATAACCCAAGGATGGAGTGAATGTAGTTTCATTGATAATTCAAATTAAGCAGGAAGTAAGAAATTAAACAATAAGCATTAAAACCAGTCAGTATACTTACATTACCCTTCAACTTAGTTGCAATAATAGCATTTGAACTCCATTTTAGATTTGAAGAATTGCCTTTTTTCTTTCTTTCTTTCTTAGAAAGTGCTATTATGTTCAAGGTGGCTAACTCTACCACTCCTTTAATCTTTTTTGGCCTCACTTTACATGCGCTTAAAAATTTTTTTTGCATACCTATGAGCTGCTGCTGCTACTGCAAGTCACTTCTGACTCATAGTGACCCTGTGTAGGATTTCTGGGGCTGTAAATCTTTATGGGAGTAGAAAGTCTCGTCTTTCTCCCACAGACTGCTGGTGGGTTTGAACTGCTGACCTTGTGATTAGCAGCCCAATGAATAGCCCACTATGCTCCTAGGCCTTCTTATCTATACACTAGTATAAACTTCTTTTGTTACCTCATAGACATGCCAGAGTTGCTACTTCCTAAAGGATTATAGACATGGCATTTTTCAGTTTAAGAAAAGTGGCAGAACTTTATTCTACAAAATTTTGGAAATCTCTGTGAGCCATAGGAGCTCTGGTGGTGTCGTGGGTTAAGTAAGCATCAGGCTGCTAACAACGTCAGCAGTTCAAACCCACCAGCTGCTCTGAGAGAGAAAGATGAATCTGTCTGCTTCCAGGATGATTTACAGCCTCAGAAAACCTGTGGTTCTGCTCTGTCTTAGGGGTTGCTATGAGTCAAAATTGACTCGATGGCAGTGGACTTGGTTTTTGGTTTGCTATGAGCCATTCTCATTTACTGGATTCAGATGCTATGAATGGTGATGATTTTCAGGTATAGTAAAGAGTGGTTAAGACTAGACAAAGATGACTCAAAACTGGAAGCAGAGGTGAAAGCAGTCTCTATATCTCTGATTAGATTTCATCAACACAAGACTCTATGTGTTCTTGTTACCAGGCCATGTCATCTGAGTATGAATGATTCTTTAATGCCAAAGATTTGTAAGTAACTGAAAAGCACTTTTCAGGTTTTTTTTGCCTTTTCTGCCTAACCTCATTTTCCTTCATAATTACCATTTCTTTAGAGGGTATACTAAAAGTAGGTTTGTGATTGTTAAATGCTGTTGAGTCGATTCCGACACATATTGACCCTGTATAGTGTTTCCAAAGAGCAGCTGGTGAGTTTGAACAGCCAACCTTGCAGTTTAAACCGACCTTGCAGTTCAGTGCTTATCCTGCAATGCCACACCAGGACTTCAAAAGTAGGGTGGAATTTGGGAATGATCATAGAAGTTAGATGATACTTCTAACGTGATTTACTTTAATGTTTTAATTCCGTTCAGCAAAAAACTTCTCTTTGCCAATCATGCTTCACTCTCCCATCTGCCCACTGATGGCACAGCAGTTAAATTCTTGACTGCTTGGAGGTCTGAGGTCAAGAATTCCTGGGAGGAAGATGCAGCAGTCAGCTTCCAGAAAGGTTACAGCTTTGAAAACCATAGTGGAGTTGGAATGAATTCAGTGGCAATGAGCTTAGGCTTGGTTGTGATTTTTTTTTTTTTTTTAAGATAATGTTTAGTTATTTTGATTCAAGTTGTTTCAGATTATACAGCAATTAGTCTGTACAGCTATGCAACAGGTTTGTTTTCACAACTTGGCTTCTTGCCTGTTCTTGAAGCAACCAGATTTTCTTTTCTTTGACTGTAGAAACAAAATTGAATAATGGAAAACTATCGTTAACTAATATTATATACAGCTAGGCTCATAAGTTTAACATTCAGTGTTTATAATTTTTAGAATCATAGAATTTGAATCATTGTTATTGTTGTTAAGTGTCATTGAGTGGGTTCTGACTCAGAGCAACCTTGCGTAGGGTTTCCAAGGTGGGTTTGAACTGCCAACCTGTGGTTATCAGTCCAGTGCTTATCCTTTAGAATCACTTGTGGTTGTTGCTGCTAAATGCTGTTGAGTCAGTTCCAACTCATAGCGACCCTGTATACACGGTTTCCAAGGAGTAGCTGGTTAGTTTGAACTGCCAGCCTTGTGGTTCAAACTGACCTTTGAGTCCTGTGCTTATTCTGCAGGACTCCTATAGTGCTAAATGGGCCTTACATAAGTCATGTAGTCTATATCCAGTTAAGTTTTGCAACTATTTCTTTCTATATACAAGTTAAAATAGCATACAAGTATGCTATCGTGTTTAAATTTGTCTTCATTAAGGGTTCATAAGAGTAAGACAACTTCTGTCGAATGATTATCTGAAGGGAATCATTTTTGTCCTAAGTTTAATTTTCCTCAAACATCAGTCATGTTTAAGATCTGTAAGAATTTTATAGACGTCAGTCATATAAAACTATTATTCATTATTATAATGAAGGTTCTAATTCTTTTTGGTTCTCTCTTTACCCACGTTTCCTCTACCCGCAGTTTTTGTCTTTTTTTCCTGGTCCATCTCTAATTGTAATATACTTGACTTGAGACCCAGTGACCAAAACAATACATGCTGTTTTAAACATGGTTTCACCACTAGTGACTTGAGTTTTATTTCTGGTACCTTTTTTGCTTTCTTACCTGATGTTTGTTGAGTTGGAGCAACAACTGAAGCGACATGTACGGAGACTTTTAGGCTTGTTTCTTGACCTGTATCTAATAGTTTGGATTCATGTCTTTAAGTATATATATATATATATATATATATATATATAGTAGATAAATTTTTTCCTGCTTATCAGTCAATACAGGAGTAAATCTGCCACTTTTCTGCCCACTGATGTAACTAACCTTCAGTCCTTGTGTATTTTGCTGTCATCATGGCATTTAAGTACTCAGAATGGCTTAGCATCATCAGTGACATATTACCTCCTTGTTCCGGTGTGGCGCTGTGGGTTAATGCGCCAGACTGCAAAGCTGTTTGAACTGCAAGGTCGGCAGTTCAAGTTCACCAGCTGCTCCTGGGAAACCCTATACAGGGTTGCTGTGGGTCGGAACCAACTCAATGGCACTTCACAACAACATAGCTATAAAAGGAGTTCTGGTAGCATAGTGGTTATGAATTGGGCTGCTAACCTGAGGGTTAGCAGTTTGAAACTAACAGCTGTTCCACAGGAGAAAGATGAAGCTTTCTGCTCCCATAAAGATTCATAGCCTCGGAAACTCTGTAAAGGGTCGCTCTGTATCAGAACTGACTCCATGGCACATAACAACAACATTGCTATAAAAAGCTATTTCTTTCCCCCAAAAAAACTTTGAAGACCCTTGTCAGAAATCTATTGACATGACTTCATTTAGTTTATTAAATTGATTTGCTTCCAATTTCCCTAATTTTAAAATTTTACCAAAATATTATGTTGCTATTAAGTGATTTGAAACACTGTATTAGAAGCAATGATTGCAGACATTGCTGTGTATATGTGTGCTTTGTTTTCTTTTGAAATAATTGCATTGGATCTAAGGAAGAAGTTTTACCTATGCACTGTTTTGAGGTAGATAAGTTTGATTTTAATTTCCATTTTGCATTGGTATTATCAAAAGCCTATTTTGACCTAGAACCTTTAACCTGTCAATTCCTGTTCCCCGTACCCTTACCCACCTAATACCTCATCTGGGGAGTTCTGTTCTTTTCAAAATGTCCAGGGTTATAGCTAATCCATTTTGTTGTGCTTATGAGAAGGTACTTTTACTTTATCCCTGGCCTGATTTGGACATTTTGAGCTTTCTCTTGCTGATGATGGTGGTGGTGGTATGCCGTGGAGTTGTTTCGACTCATAGCGACCCTGCATAGGGTTTCCAAGCCTGTAAGTCTTTATGAGAGCAGAAAGCCTCATCTTTCTCCCGTGGAACAGCTGGTAGTTTCAAACTGCTGGTAACACTAACTTAACTATCAGGCATATTGTAAGCATTTCACAAATATTGACTGGGTCTCTACAATACCCAGTGGGATAGATACTATTATTTTTTTCCCTTTTTATATTTGGGAAAATTGAAGCAGAGAGATAAAGACCAAAACCACATAGCTAACAAAATGTTAAGAGTGGGGATTTAATTCAGGGACTTGGGCTTCAAACAACACTTTTAACCTTTTTGTAAATTATAAGTGGTTTGGTATTACTATCAGAATACAAAATACAAATGTTTTCCTCAGAAATTTCCTCTGTAATATGAATATATTAGACAAGATGTTTACAAAAAGAATGAAAGGAGGCATGTGGGCGAGAGAAGCTTCATTCCTGATATTAAGTTGCTTTTTATAAAGAGTTCAAAGTTCACCTAGTTTGCCTCAGGAAAATAAAACTGCCATTTATTATTCACTCTTTCAGCAAATATTTATTCAGTGCCTAACAAATGCATGGGAGATTTCTATGAAATACAAAAGGCAGATACCTATCATAATAGAACCTATTTTCTGGGAAAGGGGAAAGTAGAAACAAAAGACATACTTTACTTATGCTGTGGAAAAAATCAAGGAGTGTAAGGAGGATTGGGAATGTAGCAGTAGGGATGAGTTAAAAGAAAGTGGCATATGAACAAAGATATGTAAGATAGGAGGTAGCTATGTGGCTACCTAGAGGGAAAATATTACACACACAGGGAATAAGCAACGCAAAGGCCTTGAAGTAGAAGAGTGTCTGGTGTGTACAAAAGTATCACCAAGGCCACTGTGGCTGGAGCTGAATGAACAAAGAGGAAGAAGAGGTAAGTAGCAGGGGGCAGGGAGGAATTTCAGATAGCATAGAACCTTATAGGCCATTGCAAGGGTTTTGGCTTTTACTTTGCACAAGATGAGGTGCCATGCTGTGATTGCCTCCTTTGTCAGCTGCTATACCTAGGTGTGGAGTCCTGGTGTGGCGCTGTGGGCTAATGTGTCAGACTGCAAAGTCATTTGAACTGCAAGGTCGGTGGTTCAAGCTCACCAGCTGCTCCTTGGAAACCCTATACAGGGTCGCTATTGGTCGGAATCAACTCAATGGCACTTCACAACAACAAATACCTAGCCCATTACAGACATTATTCAATATGATGTTATCTAGAGCCCTAAAAAGGTATACTTTTCATCATTCCATTTTATGGAACAGAGGTATTTAGAAGCTAAACAACTTGTCAAGGTAGTATAGCTTGCAAATGGAAGAGCCCAGATTCAAATCTAAGCTGTGTTGCTATTAAAAATCAGTGTACCTAACCGTTGTGTTCCTTAAGCTTCAGTGTATAAGAAACATTTTGAAGATGTATGGTTAGCAGCTCAAAAAACAGTACCAGTAAAGTCTATGTTATTTTATCCCACAATTACAGGAATGCCCTTTATATGTGAGGATGTTAACGTTCTGGATTCCCTCTCATTCCCCCCAGGTGGCATAGATATAAACGCATTTCAGGAACATGAGGATGGTCGCACCGGGCCTGATGATAACGAAGAAGTCATGCGAGCTCTGCTCATTCATGAGAAGAAGACCCCCACTACTACGGCTAGCTCAGTGGGGGCAGCTGCTCCTGTAAGCACTGCTAACGGAAGCGACTCGGAGAGTGAAACCAGTGAGTCAGATGATGACTCTCCACCCCGTCTGGCGGCGATGGCTGTGCACCGTCGGGAAGAAGATGAGGAGGATGACGAGTTTGAAGAGGTGGCAGATGATCCTATTGCCATGGTGGCTGGCCGGCCTTTCTCCTACAGTGAAGTGAGCCAACGGCCAGAGCTGGTGGCCCAGATGACACCAGAGGAGAAGGAAGCATATATAGCAATGGGGCAGCGCATGTTTGAGGACCTCTTTGAGTGAGCTTTCCTTGCCTTTTCCTCCTGTCTGTAATGCTCATTTCAAAAAGAAATGCTTCATCTTGGAGAAAAGTGTTTTAAGTGGATTTCTCCTCATCTTGATGTAAAGCAATTGTTAATTAATCTTGTGCAAAAAAATAAGGGGAAAGTTTGAATTTTTTATTCCAGAAATTCCCCAACAAAGTCTGATGACTATAAGCATTCCCTTCCCTGCTTATTTCATACAGTATTAATATTTTACTGTATTTACTATTGTTTTCCCTTCCTTTGCAAGACACATTTCTCTCCTTTCTGAAATGAATAGAGGGAATTCTGTAAGGTGAATTCATCCTGTCAACAGAAGCCTACTACAATAGGTTAAAATAAGTCACTGATCACATCTTTTTTTAATTTGTACTGACCAAGCATTCCAGATAATTCCTGATATTTGCTGTCTACCAAAGCAGTTTGCCAAAAGTCCACTCTCTAATAAGGAAGGAAAAAAGAATGAAAAATCTTTATATTCCCTCACAATTGACAATGGGAGTCAACATGGGGCGGGGCTGGGAGTGGTATGTGCAGAAGAGGGGTTGTTATGCCAGAATCTCATGATTAATCTCAAACCAAAGTTTTTGTCTTTAGAACTGAGCAGACTGGTAGATTCTGTTGTTTTTCTTAATGCCTTTGCTTTGGTGTTGGGTGATAGAAAGCAGAAAGTGTGCTTGGTGAAGCCTTATGAAGAAATCAGGAAAAAAACCCAAAAAACAGAAAACCACATGGACAAGGAGTCCATGTAAAGGGGTGGATAACATTGGGAAGAGTGCCTTTTTAGAATTTCCTGAGTGCGTGATTTGGAAATCTTTTATATAAAACTAAGATCGGGCTCCTTTCCCTACTTCCCTCCTCCTCCTACAGATGCTGTAAATTGTTTAATGAGGCTAGTTCAGAAATTGGCATCAAAGCATTGATTACTCCCTTTTCTCTCCTTCTCTAAGAGTCATTGGAGGCTTTCTCTGTCTCTCCTTAGATTCTCGTGAACACGTCCAGTATATTGTGAGCATTGTAACCTCAAGGAACATAGTTTATTTTTGGTTCTGATATGTAGTATGGTTTTATTCTGTAAGGTAGAACTTTAAAATAAACCTTTCATACAGGAGTCTATAACATTTGTATTTTTTGGTAATATTTTCTGTTGCATTGTAATTTTTATGTATTTATCATTTTATAGTACATGCGTGCAGTTAAGATAGTATTTTAGGACAACTGAGCCTTGTATGAAGTGATGTTTCTTTTACCTGGGTTGTATTAACAACTGAATATTGACAATAAATCTATTTTATACTAATTGAAATTTGTTCATTTCCACTTCTGTAACATCTTGGAGCATAATAAAAGTGGATACTTTTCCCATTTGAAAAAGAAAAAAATCTTTCAGACTAGTTTCTCTTAATAATCATATTATTTAAGATAATAGAAACAATTTATGTGGTCTAGACTTTTTCTGTCTTAAGTTGCTTTAAGAATAACCTTCATGTATGTAACTTGCACAAATGGGCCTATTTAACTTTTAAACTGTATTTTTTAAACTTTCATTGTTCTAGAAAGAAGTTTCATTTAATTAAAATGGTAACCAAGTGTTAATTTTAAAAAAAAAATGCAAGTGTAGGTGAATTGTTAGAGCTCTTTATTTCAGTGAATAAATGTTTATAATTATCTTTCTTACATTTAATATTTTCGGCTTCGTAAAGCTGCTGTTCTGTTTTTCTTTCCCATGATTTACTAGCTTCTTAAAGAATCGTGTGTTTAACTAAATACATTTTCCAGCTCCCTCTTGAAATATGATTCTTTTCCCTATTACTATTACTCTGAAATAGCTTTCTCATTCTTAATTGTTAAGCCTAATAACCCTTTTTCCCTTTCTCTTTCTCCAGTGTTTGATGCTATCAATGCATCCCTTTTCCTTGCAACTTTTTCATTTAATATCCTAGCTACGGCACTATCCTGGTTCTTGCTGCTCATTCTCCTTCAGACTTTATTGGCTTCTCTGCTATGTGGGGGGGGAATACCTTAAGGCTTAGGGTTTGCTTTGTTTGTTTATTGTTTCATTTTTTCCCCCTATGGAATTTATGTTATGAAAAAATGTCACAAGTAAAAATAGAGGTATGTACATTACAGTAGTGTTTGAAATAGAAGGCTAGAGACATAGTTGTATTATTTGCTTATAGTCAAAGGGAATATATTGACTGTGTACGATATCACATTCATCACATTTAGAAGGATTCAGTTTTTCTGCCAATGTGGGTATATGTGCACGTGTGTGTGTATATGAATAGAGGAAACAAGTAGCTAACAGTGCTTATTGTATGACAGATGTTAATTTAACTGCTTTACTTATGTTAAACTCATTTAATCCTTTATAGTAAACCTATGAATTTAGGTATATGAAAGGACTTCAAAAAGTTCATGGAAAAATTGCATTATCTTTTAATAAATATTTTTCTTTAGTGGCTATATAAAGATAATTGTTGTTTGTTGTTTAGTGCTGTCAAGTTGGTTTTAATTCATAGTGACGCTGTATCAGGTTTCTGAGGCTTTAAATCTTTGTGGGAACAGAAAGTCTCTTTTTCCTATGGAGTGACTGGCAGACTCAAACCATGGACCTTGTGGTTCAGTCTAGTACTTATCATATGGACCCATTGCACTCCCTGTACAAAAATTCTGTTAATATAATTGTTATTGTTGTTGTTAAGTGCCATTGAGTCAGTTCTGACCCACAGCGACCCTGTATAGGGTTTCCGAAGAGCATCTGGTGAGCTTGAACCACCAACATTGCGGTTCAAACCGACTTTGCAGTCCAACACATTAACCCACAACACCACACCAGAACTCCGTTAAAAAATTAGGGAATTTAGGGATGGAAATAATATATTCCCATTTTGGAAAAAAGACTTAAATGAGTGTTTATTGAATTTCATGTAGAAATTAAATATTAGGTTGTAGTCCTGGCTATAACTAACTTGGCTCTGTGACACTATTACCTGATGTAATCTTTCTAGGCTGGTGTCTCAACTGCTGGTATCTCAACTGCTGCTAAGGTTACTTAGATTCCCTCCAGCCCTAATATTTTGTGCAGCTAGGGATAGTTTGGGGTCCTGGTGTGGCCCTGTGGGATAAATAGTGGACTGCTAACTGCAAGGTCAGCAGTTGAAACCCACCAGCTGCCTGCTCCTTGGAAACTCTATATAGGGTTTCTATGAGTTGGAACCTACTAGACATCATTTAACAGCAAGTGGTGGTCAGTACATTTAAATCTGAAACAAAATAATAATAACCAAAAAGAAAAAAAAAAAAAAATCTGATGCTAAAGCAATTTAAGCCAGGTGAAGGATATTTTAACTGAGGAGCTAGTGTGAGTTGCAGGTTTAGGATTAGAGGGTATATCAAGCCACAGCATAAACAATAACTAGTTATGTTTCTTTACCCCCATCTTGCCAAGGTGTTTCATTTCTAGTCATCTGAATGACTGAGGGAGAAATAATGGAACATTTCATAATTTTTTTTTGCTACTATGGGAGAGAATTGGACCCTGAATTGGAAACAAGGTAGAAAAGCACAATTCAATTTCTTCTCATCTACATACCATTTGGCTCTATGGCTAGCGTCCCAGCCTGGACCACAATAGAAAGGTTACCTATGACCCTTCTTGTTCTCTTTATTCTGGAGAGTTAAAAAAAAGCAACAGAAATGACAATTTAAAAACAAAACATGAAAATCTTTAGAATTTAGAAATTGGTATCATTCCACCGTCTGTCTTTAGCGTTTCCACCACCACCACCAAAGAGGTTTCACATGTGTCATTTCTACAAGACTTATGTTGCTCTCACTTTAAAATCTAAAATGATCTTAGGGATATGTGGGAGATTTTGAGAAAGGAACTGCATCATCAATTTATTATATGTTATTTTGGTTCTTGTTACTATAAAAGAAAATAAATGGAACACAATAAATGTATTCTTAAAACATGTAAAGAAGCCAGTATGATTTGGAAAGAGGAAGGAGTCATGAAATTTTCTTTTTTAGCAAGATTTTTTAAAAAATATTCCCTGTGGAAGTTTACACAGCAAATTTGGTTCCTCTTTCACAATTTCTACACATACTGTTCAGTGACATTTTTCACATTCTCATTATTTCCAATCTGGTTGTTTCATTTCTAGTAATTTAGTTTTCCTGCCTGTGTTGTGAATTAAACTATTTCCCCCCAAAGTATGTATTATAAATCTTAACCCCTATGTTGTTGTTGTCAGGTGCCATCGAGTCCGAACCGACTCATAGCGACCCCATGCACAGCAGAACGAAACAATGTCCGATCCTGGGCCAACCTCACTACCGCCGCCACACTTGACGCCATCAATGATGC